GGGGGGGGGGCTTTAGTGTTAAGGTTGATATAAAGATCAGAAGTTTGTACTTCGAGCATCTCTTCAAAACCATCTAATGTAATGCACGTAGACCGCCTGACAAGACGTGTGGTTGCTTGTAATAAACCCAGGCACACAACAATCACAAATCCATTAGTCATTATCGGTTCAAGGAATTTATGACAGGCGGGGAGGGAGAGGGTTTAGTTTAAGACGTGATTTGGCATCTCTGTCCTACTGTAGGCCCCCACAATCCCGTTTGGCCTTTGTGTGAGCGCTGTAATTAATGACCTTAGGGAAAGAATTACCTTGTTTGGCAGCGTAGCAGTGACCTCAACCTGAAATTTACTTGCAACGGAGCGAGCTTAGGCTATCAAATTGGATTAATGCCCAAATTGCCAAGGATTTAGTTGGCAGGCCTAAGCGGCAAACGTTGAATCAACATTTTTCACATAAGAGCGAATCTGACGTGGACATATAGCGAGGCTTACCGGCTTTCTACTCTGCACTGTATAAAGTCTGCGCGGTGGGAGTTTAACATTAGCATAATTACTGTGGTGCTTGTGAAATAATAAAAATAAAAACGGTCATTTGAAAAGAGTTTGCAAAAGTGGCGCTTGTGTACATTCACGGGCAGTTGGAAAGACCCGCTGCTTTGTTAAAGAATAATGATCCCCCGTGAGACCCGTGCGGACAGGAAGATAAAGGCATTGCTCAGCAGAGTTGTATAATTTACGCATAACTGGGGCAGCTTGCATTTTTGTTGATTTTACATGTATATATATATATTTTTCTATAGGCACAGTGCGTTTTCACCATATGCCTCCAGTATTCTTGGCTGCTGTAAAAAGGGTCGCTAATGAAGACCACACGGCTTCTAAAGACTAAAGGAGCTGTCCGTGGTGCTGAAGCTTTTGAGCGGCATAAAGTGTGAACAGCCCTGCGTTAAATCCCCACAACTGGAGGGACTTTGTTTCCATTTATACTTGTGCCCCGTGTCTGCCTTCACTCTGCCTTCTCAAGTGAAAGTGAGCAGCTCATGTTGGACCTGAAGGTAGTAAGTATTGAATGACGGTTGCTTTTACTGAAACATAAGAATGAGATAAAGTTCGAGTCTGTTTGAGTCTATCTTGTGTAATGAGTACGATACATATAAATGTCACAAATTACATTTTGTTTATCCTGCTATCCTCGTGCTAATCAATACACTGTTTGCTGGTTGCCTCTGTGGAAAGGATGCATGGCGGGGGTATGGTTTAGGCTGCTGCTTAGATTTAATGACATAATATTAAATCATTAGCATTACCAAAGCATGATTACATGTCTGCTCGCCAAAGAGCTGGCACTTATAAATCATTGTCATGCCACAAATATCAAATGCATAGCGAAATGATGTCTATCATGTTTGCTTTAAAATGTTTTTTCTAAGTTGGGAAGACTTAAATCAATATCGTTTTACAAGCAAAACAAGAAAAAGAAAATCTTTAAAAGGTTTCTCCATGGCTCATTTTTTTTCTCCCATTCTAGTCGCACACACAGAAAAAGACACCTTGAAGTTCAGCTCTTAAAATCATCACACGGTGATCAATAAATCATGAAACAGACTTTATATTTAATCTCATCAGACACAGCCAAAAATAAGGTCTTTCCTTTTACAGCAGACCATTACAGCTCTCTGTTCCTATAGCTAATGGTAAGCGTGAACGAACATAAGCAAAAGAAATCTTTGATTTATTGTTAAATTCTATTTTTACGATTGCACATTACTTTCAACATTTCTTAGTCATTTTATTTTTCATCTTTGGGTAGCTGTGCCTCGGGAGGAAGAGTTGGCTATCTCCCAAATCAGAAGGTCAGTGGTTGAATGTGGTCTAAACCAGCTCCACAGTACTTCCAGCACATATTTAAAAACAAAATAGGCATTAAATTATTAATTATAGCAGAAGCATAACAAGACAGAGTAAAGGCAATAAGAAAAACAATTCTTTGATGGTACTTAAAAATACTTCACGCTGACCCCAGCTGCTGTTTGCCATTATTTAAATACGTTGTTGACAAAGTATAACTTGAAATTCTGTGGAGCTGTCAGCAGGTTCAAATGCCTCCAGGTCTTTTGGAAGGCTGCTTTAGAGGAAAGGGCCATGAAACTACAACTTGCCTCAACACAAGTGTTAGCCCTAGCCAAGGGAGCAACAAAAAGGCCAGAGAACATAAAGATGCAGACAAGACTTATCCAATAACCACAAGTGTTATATATTTGGGAGCTAGCCCCCTGAGTAATTAAAAAATGAGCAGTATCATAAGGCATATCATAAAATATATTATAAAATAAAAGCCAAGAGTGAGACTTTGGAAAGTATATCATGTATTATCTTCTTAGCCAATTGTAATGCTGCAGGTTTGAAGGAGAGACCAGAAAAAGACAGTTAATCAAGAATTAGGAAGTTATAAAGTGACTCCGAGAGAAATGCTCAAATTAGAATTAAAAACTATTTTTGATTGTGATGATGTAATTTTCATAATTCAAACAGGGATCACAAACTGTAAGATACCTCGTGAAATGCATAAGCCTTGTTTCTGTGCATCAAAGTTAGCTTGCTCACTATAAAATGAGCCTTACAATCAATATCATTCTTTTTCTTGAAATTATTTTTATTTGCTCTCAACTTACATTTAATAAACAGGCACACGGCAGATTTTATTTGCAGGAATATTGGGGATATCATTGGATTTCAGAGTTGATGAAAAAACATGAGAGGCAACTCTAATGATCACTGGCAGAAAAAGACTTAAACAACTCATCTGATGTTTACAGACAGGTTGCTGATGGCATAATGGCTGTACTGTGGGGATGGCTGAAATCTTTGTCCTGTTCAAAGCAGTGCTCTTCAGCTAATCCTGGCTAAGTGCTTGAGACTATCCTCAGCTTTAAAGAATGGTTGAAGCCAGGCGGACTCTCCAGTGAGTTTGACACCAAAAGGACTGCAGCACCACCCTGAGCCCATGCTTATCAGATCTCCTCATATCCCGACTTTTCAAAAGGGCAGGATCCTTTGAAGAGTTCTGATGATGGTGGCGATGATTGAGATGATGACGAAGCCTACAGAGACAGTGCTTTCTTACTCCCTGTTTTTTTTTTTGTTTTAATCTTTGCCTCTCTGTTTTTCCTGCTTCTCTGTTTCCCTGAAGGCAATCAAACTACAAACAAGAGAGTAAACAAAGAAATGGTTTATATCGATTCCTAGGCTTTATAGCTGTGGGTAAATGTGTTTATCTTCTGTAGCCACTACATTATACTTAGATTAAATACATATTTGATGGGGCAACTGGAGCAATGAGCAATGCACTGCTTTGAAGCATCCTCTGGCAAGAGTTTATTACATTTTGTTAATACCTTAATTAGGCAAAGCATGAGAGAAATTAATCCCCGGAGAACTGGCTTCTTAAAACATTGTCCAGCCACCCCTGAAACCCAAAGGAATAATTAGACAGAGCAGAGAAATGCGTTCGTCCCTGAGAGGATTCTGGGATAAAGTTTACCTCCTAGTCTTTGACAGGAGCCGGGCTTTTGTTTGCACACAGACTTAACTCTGAGAGGCATAACAATCAAGAAGCACACATCAGCTTTAATGACAACAACACTGCATTTTCTATCCCCAGAAACTCATTGAAAACATCTCACGGTACTGTACGTGGGTGAGTATCTCGAGTGAAGTCAACACAAAGAAAAGCCATCGTATTTCAGTTTTAATTAACAGAACGTACATTTGTTTGGCAATTAAAACAAACTGATTGAAGCTTGTTTTTCAGCCACTGAGGAAGAGGAAATCAGGAAAAAGGTCAGCAGACATGCAGACGCCCAGACAGACTTCTGCTGTTGAAGCTTTGTGCTCATTGTTGTTTTCCCATCTTACATAATCTGTCCTCTCTGTAGTCTCAATCAGACACAACAAATGTGTGTTTAAACTCTGACCCAGAGTGCAAAATTACCCAGTGAGCTACCCTCATCTTTAAAACAGTTACGTGAATGCATCAGTGACTCCATCTGGCTATAAATCACATCCCCTTTATAAGATAGCCCTGGCCATGCACTAGAACTGATCATACGAAATAAACTGTAGCATGTACATAATGACAATCCACAAAAAACAGCTATTTAAAATACAGCAGCCTCATAACAAAACCATCTTTTATGTCATTACTCATTATGCCCTTAATTTCAAAAATAAAAATTAATAGTATTGCAATTAGGGATGCATCGATACCGATACTGGTATCGGGTATCGGGGCCGATACTGTAAAATGTGTGTGTACTCATACTCGTAAAAGTTAAC